GAAGCACTACAGGCACCGCGTTCCTCCAGAGGATGTTACTGCAGACACCTGAGATTCAGCCGCCGCAATGGCTGTCTACTTGTCTACTGATTGTACGGAGTAGCGCGAGCCTTTTTTTAAAGAACGTTTTGTAAACTGTTTGCTTAAGAATATGTTTACTTTCCCCTTAGAAATGAGGGCAAGACTCCCCAACAAGCCATTGACGTCTGGTTCTTCTCAATTGGCTCGGAAGGGTCACACACCTCAAAATGAGTCGTTTGCCTCCTTCCTTCAAAGACTTGAAAGTCGAACAAAGCTTGGAATCGGGCAGCCCCCCCGGCAAAAAAACAAAGTGAAGGGAGTGGTGCCCTTTCTGTTCCCTTCAACCAGCCAAAAACGGGTATCTACAAAAAAGTAACGAACCCATTCCTTCCGCAGTACATGACTGGCGAGACAGGACCCTGGCAGGTTGCTATCTGATGTTGGCGATTAGAGTTACTGCCCTGAGATACAGAAGACTACAGTAAAGCCTGGGTGGAAACATGTTTTGTGTATACTGAATTGGCTGCAAAACACGGTACTGACATAAAGGTGCATTGCAGCCGCTGGGGCGGTAGCATTTTTCCACCCACAGACGAAGACGAATTCCGAAGACGCATTCGCCCAAGGCTGTCTGAACAAAGAAGAAGCGTGAAGACGAATTCCCGAAGCCAAATTCTGCCCCGAAGCCGAATTCTACCCCGAAGACGTATTGCGAAGACGCATTTCCAAAGGCGAATTCTCTCCCGAAGCCGAATTCCCTCCCGAAGACGAGTTGCGAAGACGAATTCCCTGAAGCCAAATGCCCTCAAGAACACGAGTTCCCCCTCCTGAATGCCTTTGAACAATCATGCCAGCAGCAAGCGTTCGTGGCAATCTCGTCCTTGTCACACACGGCCCTCCACATAGATGTTGTTGTCAAATGATGTCTCGATTCTGACCGTATGCCTCTAGGAGGAAGGCAGTATTCTGAGCCTCTGCTGCTGATCGTCCTTGTGTCTGTAACGGGCATTAAATCGTTCCATGCTGACTTCAGTCTCCTGAGCACGATCTCGAACTTTGATCTGAGAATGAGAAAATCCGTATGGCTTCTTTTGAGGAGAGTCTTTTTGTCGCTGCCAGTCATCAACAGGCTGCTCCGCTACAATTGAGTCCGGTGGCAGGGGATCTCAATCCTGGTGTTGTCGGATACTCACGTGGCCCGTGGATCTTGTCAAGTCAGACCCAATGCATCTCAGATGGATTGGTGAGACTATGGATGTTCCTAGTTATGGGTCTCTCTTGTTATTGTAGCGCGCAGCCCAACGTCTTTTTGCAGTAAGCCATGGCTCTGGTTGCGCAACGTGTAAAGAAGGGCCTTGAGCCAAAACGGTAGACTGTGTGAAGGTCAAGAGAGTAAAAAGCGCTCGCGGGGGCGGGGGGGGGGGGTGTGTCATCAGGGAATGTAGCGTCGGAATGCAGCGTCAGCCGGGAATGCAGCAGCCGGGATTGTGGCATCAGGGAATGTGGCGTCGGAATGCGGCATCAGCCAGGAATGCGGCGTCCAGGGAGGAATGTGGCGTCAGCGTCAGATTGCGGCGTTACCCAGGAATGCGGCGTCAGGGGTGAATGTGACGTCAGGGAACGCTGCATCACCGTGCGGCGTCAGCCGAAAGTATCGCCGGAAATGTAACGTCGGAATGCGGCGTCATCTCGGGAATGCGGCGTCAGGAGGGGAGGATGTTGCGTCAGGGAACGCGGCGTCACAGGTTTTGGAATGCGGCGTCAGAATGCGAAGTCAGCGTCAGGGCGGTAAAGCGCTGGATCTTTTGCGGCCGCCCTGTAAAAGTGGGTGGGATCACAAGCACATGGCGTTGGACAACAAGGTCAATGAGTGGCAAAAACGGGTGGGTTGGAGAACCACGTGCTGCAGCCGCAGTGCAAAGCTTTTTGCCGGGTGAGGTGAGCCACATCCTAACCCGGGTTGATGAAGGCTACGGGATAACCCCCTTAACACAAATAGGTGCGGATAGCCCTGTTTTGATTCTGGGTGGACCATTTTCACAGGCTTTGAGTATGACTCCCGTGGCTATGGGCCACAATTAAACCACCAGATCGCTTGTCCATTTCTCGGGGCCACCCAGGCTGAGTTTACATTTTGACCCACAGCCATGTGCCAAGGGGAGATTAGGGACCCCCAACCAAGGGTCCCAACATAAAGGGTAGGTTTTCAGCATCACCTTTTTCGCTTGTTCAAGCGGTTGGTTCCTGGGAGTGCCCATGGTCAATTCGGGGCCGAACAGAATATTGATCAACCCGTCAAGGATTGCGATGTGAGTACTTTTTAGGACAACCGCCTTTTGGTTGTTTCAAGGGAAACCAACGATAAACCACCCATGTTTGGAGTTCCTAAACAGACCGACCCATGGTACCCAAACTCAAGGTATTCCTGTTTCCACGCATTCATGTTTATGCATCCATGATACATGAAGCGCACCCCCTTTTACATGTTCATGAGTTACAAGGTCTTTCAAGTATTACATGCAAGGCTTGACTGTTGTTGGCACGTTTGTTTGGTCTGGTTCAGTTTTATGACGGGGGCTCAGTCTGCAAGAAAAAACAAAAAACGGTTTCTTGCTACCGTACCGAGGGTTGGAATCGAAAGAAAAGGATCCCTGCCCAGGAAGCCCACAGCGAACCGTTTCCCGCCCCAAAGGGCGCCACTGGCTGAGGAGCCTCGCATCAATCTGACCTGGCGATGGATTGTACAGCACGACGCAGGGTGTAGAACCCGCTGAAGCTGCAGGTGTCCTTTTTAGATTAGTTTGGATAGAAGTAAATTAGCTTGGTTAGAAATGGATGGTTTCGCTCATGTAGGTTGGTTTTATGCCATCCATTTGCCAGGGTCGTGGCTGAAGTCAAGCAAATACGCTTTTGGAGCCAGTCATTCGGGATGGTTTTATGGGGGGTCAGACATTCCCTCATTCCCTGCTGAGAACCAGCGAGAATACAAACAGTTTAAAGGCTTACCCCTACCATGGCATGTGGTTTTTAATTCTATTTAGTGTGAACCTCGCAGAAATCCGGTCCGGACCCTACGAGCCAGAGAAACCCTCAGAATTGATCATGTCCGGGAACTGCCCCTGATTAGTCCAGTCCTCCGGATTAATCCGAAGTCAGCAAATTCATTATCCATTTATTGGCTAAATGTGGAATGAAAATACATGATCAAGAATCGATTCTTACAAACAACATTCACCATTACTCGTGCGGGCACCTTTTTTAGAGAGGCATGTCATCCTGATTGTCCAGCAAACGCGGTGACTGCCTGAGTTGGTTCCAGATACAAAATCTTGGCGCTTCAGAGCGAAAGGGGTGCCGGCCTTGTGCAGGTAGCTTGGAACGATGGGTTTTCGAGACAGAGTGCATGTATGTATGCATATCAAATCTATAGATGATGTTTGTATGATGATATATGAAGTGTATCTACATGTATACATATGTAATGTGTTTATGTACACATTATATCGTCTAACAATTGAAAGTAGTGCGGGAGACATGTGTTTGGGCAAGTCTTTTGAATTACATCAACATGGGGAAAGCAGGCACATTGGGCATTGAAGACAGAGTTGGTCAGCGCGCTGCTTGCATTGTGCAGGTGTGTGCAGGTGTTAGATTATCCTTGCGGGTTTTAACATCACCTTTGGGTTGACGGAACATAAATTCCATTGCCACTACTCCCTTTCCAGATCCCATTTCCCAGTGATTCCCCGGTTCTTTTTGCGTGGGGCAAAAGCGACATGGGACAAGCCATCTGCACGTGTTCCCATCAGCCTCAAACAAGGGATCCCCAATGATCCCCAAGTACGTCATTGCTTGTTTCGCCTGCTGATCTCGCCATAGCTTAAGCAAATGAGCTTGACATTCCGCAACAAAAAGGGGATGCAACCACATAGTTGCCAGCTAAAGAGTGCCCTAGCTTGAGACTGGCACGAACAGGCTTTCAAAGTTGTCACCAACATGAACTTTGGATTCATCCGGAAGACCCTGCTAGAGGACCCGCCGTGAGATATTATACTTCACTTGCTATAACAGGGGAACCACCCCTTAGTACAGCGCCGCAACCGGAAGCCGAACAGCGGGCGGTGTTTGGGGGGAGGTAGATTCTGCAATGGGTGGGTGGGTTGGTTGCCTGATGTGTTTGTGTTCTTTCTCGTTGAAATGGTTTTCTTCCGTTTTGTATGCAAATAGGTGTTTATGCAGAACCGCCTCTGTCAAACCATAGGTGCCATTTTTAGGTTAGGTTAGTTAAAAATAGATGGCACTGGTTTAGATAGGTTTTATTCCTTTTGCAAGGGCCATCTATTTGACCAAAAGGCCACCTGTGTAGACAACCAGAGTTTGGCTCCTTTTGGCTCCATCCACGCGGGGGGTTCTTGGAGGCCTGGCTTGAGCTTGCGGAGCATGGCCGGTGTATCGACGGCGGGGCAGTCGTTGGCTCCATTTGGCATTTGGGCTCCTGAGCTGCAGCCATGGCATATTTATTTTAAAGATAATAGTTTTCTTTCGCTCGTGTGTGGAAGAGTCCTCTTTTAAAACCCAAGTGCGTGAGAATATGTCAATCAGATGAACTTTACTAGGCTATGGATTTTCATGAAAGCCCGTTGCGGATGCCCTTAGGTTCCGAAGGCTTTGCCAGTTTCCGACTGCTTTCCCTACCCACATCCCCCACAACAAGGTGCGCCCAATAGAAGCCAAGCTTCCGAGAACAATCCTCGGAACAATTCGGAGGACGGACCTCCGTGACTTTAAGCCTGACCCCTAGAATTTCTATCTATACCTCAATTGTCCCTTTTAGTTCAAGACTCAAGGGACTTGGCAGGATTTTCAACCCCACCCAAATTCTCGCTATTCCCGCTCTCCCAGAAGATCCAATTACATTGACCAAGTTTAACTCCCACACTCCCCAACCCGACAAATGTCTTGCGCGATTCCATCACTGACCTCTCGGGGGGTCAATCCCATCGACCTGGTACTGGGTCGTAGAACGGCATGCGATGCGTTTGCTGGCCATTGCGTTCCACCTGGTCAACGCAGATGCGGTGACCTGCAGTAATGAGCGCCTGCAGAGGCGGGTTTTTTGCAGCTCGCTCACCCCTTTGGCCGTGGGTCAAAACCAATGGTACCATTTTGGGGTAGGTGAATTCACCACCCATTTTAGTCTATTTTAGTTGGGATTGGAATGCTCACTGGGGGTACGGGGTTTTGACGCATGGCCAAATTCGTTCCATTTGATTCAAGAAAATGAATCCTGTTCCTCTGTTGAATTGCAAGGGAGTCTGGACATATATTCTTTGCGGGGGACTTGAGCAAATGGAGGAATGGATTCGTGGTTTGTTGTAGATATCCCTTTCAGGTCGGCTGAGAGGGAAACGAGAGGAACCCCCACTTTCTGTCTTCTTGTTTTTGCGGGGGCCGAGCGGGAAGCAGAAAAACAACTCATTTCGAGTTTTGGCTTTTCGACCTTAGATATTGTACCGGACGCGCCCTTTGACCCAATAGAATGATGGCATCAACCCAAAATAATGTTGGGTACATTCCCATCCATTTTGAAGGGTTGAGGGTTGGCGACTCCAGGTACATGCCAATAAAGTTCCCGCTGGTTTGCGGTGCTTCCTCGCAAAAAAGAAACGGAAGCAGAACAAGGCAACCTGTCGAATTTACAGTCATGTGCGGCAGTTTGTTGCTGGATTTGGCTGTATCAACCATAATCACACCTGCAATATTTATACTTGAGTCTCCTCCAAGACTATGGTGGATTTGGGATTGGCCACATATTCATGTTTCATGTGTTGTCTATCCCAGTGGGCCGACTTTACAGGGTTTCGATGTGCATGTTCGATGGGATGTGGCGCGTTGACTTGCGCATCTTGATTCGGAATCCACGGTACAGCGCAACTTTCCCTCGACTCAAAGCGACCTGATATCTACCTTCTGGTGGTTATACGAATTTGTCTTTAGTTATGGGATGCCCTCCCCACCAAAAAAGACATAAATAAACATGTTCGTGGCTCAAAGAACCGGTGCCAAAATGGAACCCTGGTAAGTGGAAACATGGACCAAAACCTGCGAAACCCCTCCTGTTTAATTTTGAGCCATACCCAGATAGTGGTGATATACTTTCTGTTTTGCTTACAGGTTGGTGTGGGAGTACGGGTCGCTCGCTCAGAAATCGTGGCGCGGAGCTTTGCGGAAGCAAGTGTAGCAGGACGTTCGGCGAAGCTCTTCGTTTGCAGGCGAATTTCAGACAAAGAAGAATCAGAAAACACAAATGCAACATTCAGAAACTAGAAAAAGCAACATTCAAAAAACAGACGATTCGGATGATTAAGGACAGTAGGGATGGTGGGATGGTCGGAGGATGGTCGGGGGATGGTCAGGGGATGGTCGGGGGATTGTCGGAAAGGTTGGGACCATGGACGGTCCGGTTGGTGCGTGGTCGCGATGGCATGGATGGTTTTTTGTTGCTTCTGTTTTGGCTTCAATTGTGTAGGAGAGCGAGGCTTTACAGCCGCATTGGCCGTGTCGGCAAATTCGCTTGAATCTACTTGAATAGCGTGGCCCACTGAAGAGCCCAAAGTTTGTGCCGTCAAGAGAATCCAATCCGAGACAGTTGGCTGCAGCCCTTGTGCCGGGGCGAGACCCACTGCATTTGGCAGATTACTCTGGCGCCTTTTTTGATTTCCTTTCACCTGCCTTTTTGTCAAGGTGCAGTGATGATGTGGACGGCTTCCGGTTGCTTCTGACCTGCCGGTTGCTTTGGAATGGTGGCCTTGCTCCGCGTGCTTCTTCGAACTTGAGACTGGCCCGAAGTACGTTTGCAGCTTTCGATTCGGTGGAGCGACACGCGCTGCTTGTGCCTCAGCGCTTTTTGGCTCGGGTGTTGCTTCGGCTTGGCCAAAGCATTGTTCAGCATAGTGGGGCTGCTCTTTGCGTTTTGCCATGTCGCCAATCGACTGCGTTCCAGACTTTAATGGCAGCTTGTGTTTGAGGCGATTTCGACGTCCACAAGGGAGTCCCGCCTGTGGCACGGCATCGGCCTTGCTGGTTTCTCGTCGCACGAAACGCCGATCGAATTATTTTAATGTCGGGCGTAGCTGAGGCTGCGCCGGCCAGGCGCGAGATCGGGGAACTCCAAGTTTCCGTGGATAAGCAGCATGTGACGACCTTTTTATGTGGTTATCGCCAACAAACGGTGAGAGGGCAGTCCAAGATGTCATGCTGCGCGCCGTCCAATGCGCATGCGCCAGCGCAAGATTGAAGAAAAAGAGGCCGCCCCCGCCGCTTACTCTACCAGCTGCGAATGGATGCTGCCCTGACTTGTCGGCTGATCGCGGCCGGTGCGTCGCCGCACCAGCGTTGTCCTGTCACCAAGAACAGTGACACACAACATCCTGCTGTGCGAAATGGGAGGTTTTTTGTCGTAAGTGGAACACCGTGGGTGTGTTGCGTGTTGCCTGGCCAGGCGCAGGGCGTTCTGCAAAGCTGAAGAAGGCTGACAAGGCAATGTTTTCAAGTGCCTCGCCGGCGCAGTAGCAGACAATGATAGTTTGCAGCAAGGTTTTCGTTGCGCAAGAAGACCGATGCTCGTGATGATCCCTTCTGTGCGCGTTGTGGCAAGCCCCAAGGCTGCGTCTCAGGCAGTGCAGTTGCAGAGGAGTTGTTGCTGCGTCCTTGCTGTTTAACATGGGACACACAACAGTTTAAGACCTTTTGCGAGGGTGATTTGCCACGAAGAGGCGCCGAGGTTCCCTCACCACTCCCAATATCAAATCCCACGCAACCCGCAAGAATAGCGCAGCGCTTTGCATGGTGTGATTGTCGTGTTCGCGAACGCTTTTGATTCCAACGACTGTTCTGCGTGTGACTGCCATCAACAGGCTTCAAGTGCAAAAGCAACTCATGTGGGCCAATTGTCAGGACCATTACAGCAGGGGTGCATGCCGCGCGTAGCGTTTTCTGAAAGACGGAGTTTAACGACGTCCGAGGCTTTGATTTGTGAGAAGCAGCTGGCAGTGCCAGCGAAGTCCCTCTTGAGGCAGCACCTGAGAGCATATGTGTGCTTTTGAAGGACCAAGTGCTGGCCGGCTTTGTGTTGGCTGGAAGCCTAAGCTCAAGCGCAAGCAGCGCCTCATCTCTTCCAGCGCCGCACTGAAGCAGGGCGTTGCGTCGGTTGGCCCGTCGAACTCCCGATCTGCCTTTAATAAAGAGTCGCAGAAGGCGGGGAGGGGCGCAGCCCTTCCGGCGGCAGCCAGAGATCGCTTCATCTTGAGGGAGTTGAAGCTCACGGAGAGCAGCCGTGCGTTGTTGCAGGACGTTGAGGCTTAGAAGGGTGCCGTTTTGTTTCGGCCCCAAGCAGACACCCAAAATGGGGGCGTCCTCCCCCTCCCCATTTTGACATACCCATCCGAGTTTCCATTGTCGCAGGAATCGGATCGTCGGACAGTCGAGGCGGCCGGGTTGATGTCGGGATGGCAAGACGGCCGGGATTAACAGAATGGTCGGAATTGTCGGGATGGTTCGATCGGGTTCTTCGGATGGTCGGGGTGGTTGGGGTGCTTCGGACGGCCAGGACCCCCGGGATGGGGTCGGCTGTCAGGGTGGTTGGGTTTGTCGGGATGGCGGGCGGTTGGGATAGATGGTTCTTCATAGCACACCGCCCCCCCGCCTTGCGTCGGTGGAGCCAGTCAGCTGGAGAAAATCCTGGGGTCTGCGAGGGACAGTACTTTTTTGGGAATTGCAAATTCCACTTTAGTATTGCCAAGGTTGACCCCCAGATCCCCAGGACTTCCTTTAGCGTTGGCAATTCTATTTTAGCATTGCCAAGGCTTACTCAGACTCCGAGTACTTACTTTAGTATTGCCAACTCTGCCGAGGTTGATTCTCAGATTCGCAGGGCCTCTTGTGGGCAACCCCCTTTGCGCAAATGTTTGCCCTTACTCTCTCGTAACAAAAGTTATCTTAAAACAAATGTTTGGGAGCTTCAAAAGCGGAATTCCTAATGTTTGCCCGGATTTGTTTGCCCGTGTTTTGTCCAACTTTTTTGGCCAGTCGTTGTTTGCCAGGATTTTTCCCGGCACTCTTTCTGGCAAAAAATGCCACAATTGAGGACCCCACAACAGTCACAAGACCCTGAACTGCGAAAATAAATGCACAATAGAGGGGACTTTTCGAATTGGGTCTAGCATTTGTCGGGACGGTGGCGGCGGTCAGGATGGTGGGTGGACGTTGGACTGGTAGAGGTTGGAGCGTTGAGCCAGCAAGGGTCGGCTTCGCCACTGCCTGCCCCACGTCGTCCAAACTTTACATCGCCGTTGGCCGAAATTCAACAAAGCGCTTGCCAAATTCCACCTTGATGTCGGTCGAATTTCCGCTTAGATGCCAGCCGGATGTCACATAGGCCGATCACGTTTCATGATATTCGCATCTTCCTATGTTTAGAGGCGAACTTCTTAAACAGAAAAATATGGTACCAATTTCTTCTAACCTCTCCACTGGAGGACCTAGTCTTGGCAAAAACAAATTGCCGAACGCTGCGCAGATGTCGAAAAACCGCAGGCTGCTGCGGGAGGAGCGGCACCGGGCCTGGGCGTGCGATTCGGCGAAGCTGAAATTCATCCAAGAGCAGCCCTGGGAGGCTGGGAGAGCGAGCGCGTTTGGTTCGTTGGGTGCCGGTTTGGTAAAGATTCCGAATATCTGGCGTCTCCAACATGAGAGTAAGGGGGACTGAATATGGAGAGTCCGAAATGGTTTCTCCCAAAATACACCGGGAAAAAAGGTCAGGTACGAGAACGGGGCCGGGGGGGGGGGTGTTGGCATGCAGTTGAGATGTGGGGATCTGCTCGCTCTTTGCCTTCAAACGAATGACCATAACCAAGCCACGCCCAATGATTCCATTGCCCTGTAAAGAAGGCAATGTGGACTTCGGATCAATCCGGAGGACCATACTACTCAGGGCTGGTTCTTGTGGTGAGGGATGACATTTTAGGGGATTCCTGCAACCAGTAGTAGGGTCCTCCTTCAAAGACTAATATATGGGTTTATAGTCCCGTCATGAGAAAGTAACCAAGGTGAACCACCTTGAGTGGCAAAAAGGAACATGGCCAGTGGCTTGCTTTTGTGACAACCGGGACAAATCCAAATAGCTCAAAGTCTGCTTTGGTCTTCGCACTTCCGTTCGAGTTCCTGGGCTTGAAGTTTTTTGGGTGTGGTTGCCATGTTGGCTGCAAGTACAAAAAAAAGTTCCGGACTGTCCTATAAGTCTGAGCTTTGCACTGAGGCCGGCTTGGCCCTCGGCCCCCGGCCATGATGGGTAACTCAATCCCATGTGGTTGAAATATCACATATGTTCTTTGCCGCATTCTGCTTGGATGTTAGGACTTTAACTTTTTGCCAACTAATGGGTTTTCCATAAAACCACTAAAAGTTAAAACCGTTTAGCAGAGCAGCAGAAAAGCCACCGAGAAATGTATTTTCGTGGTTTTCCAAACAATCAAAGACTCAAAAAGTCAAAAAGTCTCCATCTACCACGGACCATTTTTTTGGTTGGATCAACTCACTCAAATGCCCCCGGCCCCACTCGCCTCCGGCCACTTCCTGCTCGCTGCCCGCGGCCTAGGCCTGGGCCCTGGACTCGGAGGAGGCCTTTGCGCGCCTGAGCTTCAAGGCCGTCCGACTCGCGGGAAACTCGCCCTGGACCTTCGCCCCTTTCTCAGGTGATACAGCTGGGTCCTCCTCCGGCTGGTGCCAACTTTTTAACCCCCAACTTTTTTGGGTTGGGGGGGTTTTCGTCTACTAAAATAGAAGGATCAGGAAACAAGTTGGTACCAACTTATTCCAAGCTCAAACTACTGGAGGACCTAGACAGATTGTTGGTATTCCCCACTGTTTGTTGGTATTTACAGGGGAATCGAATCATTCTATGGTTTCTCAGGTGATGCAAAATGGATTTCGCAACCATCCAGGACATGGAGTAGCGGCACGGATGGTTGACACAGATTGCGGAGTTTCCAGGAGACTATGAAATGTTGCCCAATAGACTTAGACCCACAAAAGGTTAAACTTGTTGCAGGGCAACTTACAAGTAGATATACTCCACTTCCGTTCCGTTTCGGACTTTGGTGACTTGTTGGGTTTGGTTGCCATTTTAGTGGTACCCAGCACGTCCATGTCCGAGTTTTCTTTGGGCGGAGCTTGTTTACTAGTAAAACTTGGGCTCGACAATGTTTTACTCAAAGCCTATGTTTTGCTGGCTGTCCAATTTTTGCTCAAGCTGCCAAACACCGGCTTTCATACTTATATAGCATCCCCCCTTCCCCCCCTCCCCCCGTCATCTACCCTCTCCAGAAAAGAAGCCAAAGTGCCCCCCCCCACTTTTCCACCCAAAAGGAGCAGGGTTTCTGTGGCCCTCCCTCCCCCTTCCCCTCCACCCTACTGCAGTATACCCCGCTCTTTAGTTGTAGGGTAAGAGTTTTATACCCTTTTTTTGGGGGTATGAGTTTCACACCCCCTAAACGACTTGTGTTTTCCCATTCATGAATTTTAAAAGAGGATGTGACGAAGGTGGTTGCGGGCGGAATTGTTCAACAAGAACAAGTGAAAACGCAAGGAGAACCAAGCTAAATGCCGGAAGCCCTGTGCGAACTCCGCAAGCACCCCGAGCGAACACTGTGAGAACCCCGTGAACACTCAATACCGTGAATAGCCAGTAAGAACTTGAAAACCCAGTGAAAACCCACTGAACAACCATTCTTTTCCTGGTCAATATATTCATGGCCAACTCCATTTTAAGCACCAATTCAATGATTTTGGCCAGCTACAGGTGTGACAGCCGCAATGCGAGTGTTTGTGCAACCAGCCTATTTCAGCTGCTTTTGGGTGCCAATGCGAAGATGTTCGCAAAATAGTTTTGACTGCATACGCGCACTGTGAGCTGGCCTAAGCCATACGCTGGTTGGCTTATGTTCTACATCTCAGGCGTGAACATTGCTTTAATCATGAAGATGGAATCAGACAGATAGAATGAATGAGCCGAAGATGGATGGACTGTTCAACATGTTTCTTGGCTGGAAGGATTCAAAATGATGGCTGAATTGAATTTGCTATCGGAGTCGGCACTACACAATTGCAAGGACGGCGCAGCGTGAAAGCCGTGGGCTGCTGGTATGTGCAACACGTTTCCACTGCCCAATTTTCAAGAGTGAAATTTGGGTCGCCCATTTAACACAGGTAGGTTCTGACTTTACTTAGGCGACCAAATAATACCGGTAGGTTCTGACTTTACTTCGGCAACCACAGAAAACTTAGTCTTTGGAAGTATTGGGGTAAGCACAAAGTTTGGATTAAACTTTATTCAGCCAATCCGCTCGTTGGGACATGAGTGCCCAAAATGATCGTGGATACAGGAAAACTAGGTCCATTTTCAAGGGGAGATGCGGTCGCACAACATCGTTCACCACTTGGTAGGTTATCCCAATTGTAGCACTTGTCCGTCCGTGGATCAGCGTCCCACTCGAACGTGTCCATCAGTGTTGAGGGATGGTTTGGAAACACCCTTTTACATATCCCTTGGGTAAATGGTTGCAAAAGGCTTAACAGATGTTTATACCACTCTCCGCCAAAAGGGGTATGTACTCCTTATAAACTGCGTAACCATGGAAGCCAAGGGGTATGAAGAAGGTACTTCCCTCGGAGTGACATTGACCATAACCTTTCCATCGATCCTCTTGTTCTCGCGGGCAGTGCATACGCTCTTGGAGAAAACCACCCAACGCAAACAACACGCACTCATAAAACAAGTGGCCTTCACTGTCGTTTCCATGGACACCACCCCAACCCAACCCACCCCCTTCTGAAAAAACAAAGGAAGCGGAGCGGTGTTCCTTATTTCCCCATGAACACCACCCCCCCAAAAACAGACACGTCCCGTGGGTCCGTCGGGCAGGTGATGGTGCCCCACCCAGTGAAGGAGAAGGAGGATTTGCTTTGGAGTTTGGCTGAGTGCCTTGGAGCTCATTTTTTGCCATTGTGGTCAAAGCCGTTTTGGTTGAGCCCATGTTGGTGGGTAAAACCGGATTTTGGTGGTACCAACAAGCAACAAGGAGGTGCCATTTTCACGAGAAACTGGATATGGCCATGGTTCAAAAACGTTTTGGGAGCCCATTTTGGTTGGGATTGGTGAATTCACCACCCATTCTAGAACCTATATTTTAGTGGTTGGATTGGGATGTTCACTGGGGGTACGATTTGGATTTTGACCCATGGCCATTTTGGTTCCTTTTGACTTGCGATGTGGGAACTAGGTCCCCCAGCTAGGTGCCAACTTTTACCAACTTTTTTGGTTGGGAGGGTTTTCGTCTACCAAAATAGACTACAGAAAAAGGGCACCCTTATTCTAACCTCTCTACTGGGGGACCTAGGGAAGGAACGCAGGGATTCCCTTACAGGAAACCATACTGTGGGTAGACGAAATCCTGCACCACTTGGGATGGATAAAATCCTATATATAAAAGGGATAAACCACCTACCAACTGGTGCGGGAAATTGCCCATCCACAGCAGGGGATGGTTTATAAGGGTCATTCTATTTCTCATTCCCTGCCTATCGCACCAGCAAGTTAGACCGCACGCTGATTTTCCACCCCCTCTTAAAATGGAGTTCGTTGGGAGGTGCCTCACACGGGAGGTGACTCAAACGGGCGCAGCAGGTCTCCCTAATGGATGGCCCAACAAGACATGTGGTTTCCCTGAGCTGTTCCGACCGAGAACGCTCAAAGAAGACGCATGTTTAAGAAATTATCCAATGATTGATTCTTTGGCTTAGAACCCCACAAACCCGTTCTAAGTGTTTAGGCCGCAGTAGCTCACTTGGGTCTGTCTTTTTAAGGGCTCCCAAAAACAAATGCTGCGGGTTTCCTTTTGGTGTTCCTGTAAAACCACCAAAAATGAAACACACCCACCCACCCACCCACCCACCCACCCACCCACCCACCCACCCACCCACCCACCCACCCACCCACCCACCCACGCCACCCACCCACCCACCCACCGCACCCACCCAAACCCACCCACCCACCCACCCACCCACCCACCCACCCACCCACCCACCCACCCACCCACCCACCCACCCACCCACCCACCCACCCACCCACCCACCCACCCACCCACCCACCCACCCACCCACCCACCCACCCACCCACCACCCACCCACCCACCCACCCAC